CGCCTGACCCTGATGTCCTGAGGAACCCTCCAATTCAGCCACGTGGACCTGTGAATGTTCTTTGGCTACACTGAGATCCTTCGCATCTCCAGGCATTTGCACAAGTCACCTGACAGGAACAGTGTTTCCAAATGTTTAGGAGTCTTGGCAAGCCCAGTTTATACCATAAGCTCTCTGAGGATGAGGGTAACCCCTCACGTTCCATAACCCACATCCAGTCCACTGAGGTCAAAGCTCCCACTCCCTGTGGGCATTAAGTAAATATTGAAAGGACCTCACAGACACAGCCTCTTCCCCTCTAATTACCAAGGCCCATAATCCTGCACCCTGTCTAACACCCACACTGGGACAGAAAGAGGTTGGGTTCAAGATGCCTTAGGTAAATTATGGTGGGTGGGTTTCTTCCCTCCTGTTTTAACTGAAAACCAGCCAGATGTGTACATTTCACTAAGAGCCCTAAGATAATGTCCACGAAGAAAACTTCTCTCAACGCTGCACATGAACTGAGAGCACTTATCATGGCAACATTGGGAGAGTTAATTTCAAAATAGCCCCTGGAGATCTTCTAGTACAACCTTCCCATTCTACAGAAGTGGAAACTGAGATTGCAAGAAGCAAAATCACTCCCAGCGTCACACAGCTAGGAGGTTGACCTGCCAGGACAAACGCCAGCTTGTCTTTTCCCACACATTTATTAATAACTGAATCTTCATTGTCACTTTTCGTTATTACAACACTCATGACACACTCACTTAAGAAAGGAAGCCACGGAGAAGCATGTGTGTTCTGCTCTTTGCACCACCTCTCCGTGGGTCTCTGAAAAATGGGGTCTCTGTGTTTACTGGCAGGATGACTGGGGCCTACCATGCCTTAGGCCTCCTGCGGTTTCTCACCCTCTCTCCTACCCATAAACAAAGCCCTCACCAGCAGCACAGACAGCAGCTGTTGAGCAATGAAAGGCGGTCCCTACTTCCCAAAGCGGACCTAAGCTGTTGTCGAGTTTCCATCTCACTGATGATTTTGAAGGAACTCAAATTAAGTGACAACTCAGACAAGCTCTGATTTTGGCAAGCACCTACATCAGCACGTAAGGGGCACTCTGAGGCGCTCCCTCTGCAGGGACCCGGGTGTAGGTAGCAGGCGCATGGCCAGAGGGGGCCCTTATCAAGGCAGCAGAGGCCAGCAACCAGAACTCACTCCCACCCCAGCCTCAGGACGTGTTCAGGACCTCGCAGCCTGGTGCCCTTTCTTAGTTCACGTCGCTGACTTTCTGAGGCAGTAAGAGGGCCACCTCTCCGACTCGCCCTCAGTTTTAGGACACTTCCCCATCTATGAAGGCACAGGCTTCTTCTCCATCTCTTCTACTAGGCTGTGGTCTCCTTGGTGCCCAGCACGGTGTGGGCACCAAGTAGGTGCTCCATAAACACTCAAATGTACATATATGTATATACTGTATATGCATGTTTCATACATAGAAACGTGTTTGTAACATATAGTTGGCATTCAATAAATGCTTCTTTATGTAGACATAACACATACATATATATGCATGCTTTATATATCTAAAGTATGTTTTCTCTATAACACATAATAGGTGTTCAATAAATGGCATTTGCGTAATATGTACAATATTTCATGCTGCTGAGCAAATGAATACGTAAAGAACAATACAGTGTGTGTGTGCGTGTTTCTTTTTTTCTTTTTCTTTTATTATTTTTTGAGACAGAGTTTTGCTCTTGTTATTTTTTTTGAGACAGAGTTTTGCTCTTGTTACCCAGGCTGGAGTGCAATGGCACGATCTCGGCTCACCGCAACCTCCGCCTCCTGGGTTCAAGCAATTCTCCTGCCTCAGCCTCCCGAGTAGTGTGTGTATTTTTTCTTCCCTAAGACAGGATTTTGCTCTGTGAAGCTAGAGTGTAGTGGCAGCATCACGGCTCCCTGCAGCCTTGACCTCTCAGGCTCAAGCAATCCTCCTGCCTCAATCTCCCAAGTAGCTGGGACTACAGGCACCTACCACTACACCTGGATAACTTCCTTTTTATTTTGTGTAAAGATAGGGTCTCACTATGTTGCCCAGGCTTATCTTGAACTCCCAGCCTCAAGCAGTCTACCTGCCTCAGCCTCCCGAAGTGTTAGGGTTACAGTTAGGAGCCACTGTGCCCAGCCAAGACATGGTTTAAAGGTACAACAAGCCTGGGTGCAGTGGCTCACACCTGTAATCCTAGCACTTTGGAAGGCCAAGGTGGGCAGATCTCTTGAGGTCAGGAATTCAAGACCAGCCTGGCCATCATGGCAAAATCCCATCGTTACTGAAAATACAAAAATTAGCCAAGTGCAGTGGCAGGCACCTGTAATCCCAGCTACTCAGGAGGCTGAGGCAGGAGAATCACTGGAACCCAGGAGGCGGAGGTTGCAGTAAGTTGAGATCACACAACTGCAATCCAGCCTGGGGGACAGAGTGAGACTCTCTCTCAGAAAAAAAAAAAAAAAATTAGCTGGACGTGGTAGTTCACAGCTGTAGTCCCAGCTACTCGTGAGGCTGAGGTGGGAGAACCCAAGAAGTAGAGGTAACAGTGAGCCAAGATCGCACCACTGCACTCCAGCCTAGGCGACAAAACCAGACCCGTCTCAAAAAAAAAAAAAAAGAGTCCCTGTGCTGCCACAGCACCTTTGCCCTACCTCCCTCAATTCTCCCACCGTCTGGACACAATCATTCAATTGTGTTTCTCCCTCCACCTCAACTTTAAGCTGCTTACAGTCCAGGATTACCGCTTGGGTATATAGTGTGTCCCAAAATTCATACACTGAAGTCTTGACCCCTAATACCAAGAAATGTAACCTTATTTGGAATTAGGGTCTTTGCAAATGTAATTAGTTGGCATAGAGGAGTAGAGTGGTCCCTAATAAAATGTAACCACATGAAGACACAGACACACACACAGGGAGAAGGCCACGTGAACATGAAGGCAGAGGGTAACGCACCTATTAGCCAAGGTATGCCAAAGACTGCCCCAAATACCGGAAGCTGGGTGGGGGGGCATGGAATGGACTCTCCCACACATCCCCATGAGGAAACCGATCCTGCCGGCACCTTCCTCATAGACTGCCAGCCTCCAGAACAGCTCTCAGACTCTGGATGTCTGCTGTTTGAGTCCCAGTTTGTGGAATGTGTTAAGCAGCCCTGGGAAGCTGATACAGGTTTCATTGTCTCTGTATGCCTGTGCTTAGCACATAGAAGGGGGCTCCACCTCTGTGGAACCGGACCACAGAAGCCTGGGTGTTCAAGGCACAGCATCAGGCTGGGCAGCTGTCTACTTTCCATGGAGGCAGGTGCAGAGAGGCACCCAAGCTCTCCATCTCACCAAGGCCTACTACAGCCTGGCAGTACGTGCTGGTCAAGGCAATAGACCACCACCAACTCTGCTCTGAGTATTTTATGGAAAAGAGGGTTTTGATTAGAAGATAATGAGAAGTTATCAGAACCTACAGGCAAAGTGCAGAGCCACGCTCAGACAAAGGACCACAGATACCATGCAGGGGGAAAATGTGGCCAAGGCTTCAGGACATCGGCTGAAGACACTGCCACTCTCACTGGGCCTCAACTCTAAACAACCTCTCCCTGCCCCTGCATCTGTGCAGTATTCAGCCCAGGGTCAAAGCCAAGGGTGGCAGTGCCCACATGGCCAAGCTGAGGCAGAGCCTGAGCAGCCTAGAGGCTGCAAGAAAGAATATCTGGTCCACCTTAGCTTCCATACTGGCAGAAGGGCTCTGCCTCCCTCCAAGACTTACACACTGAGGGCTCCCCCAACCAGGAAGGTAGGTGGGGTGCTGAGCATCCCAAAATATAACAAGTACCCATCGTGAGACCCGCCAACCCACCAAGCTGCAGAGTTAAGTAAAGGCAGATCCCCGAGTCCCATCGTACCGAGACTAAGTTGTACAGAGTCCTACAGAATGCACTCAGGCTTCCAGGGTGGCGGAAGTGAGGGAGAGGCCTCTGCATGTCTACACAGCCCAGAGCCAACTGTGAACAAAGGAAGTATTTCTTCATCTCTCACCACAGAGAACAAGTGTGAAGCGGAATTTCAAGCATCTGCTATTGCAAAATATCTAAAGTAGTAGCAAAACGTCATTTCCAGAAACATCTCTCTTCCCCTACCCTAGAAGCCATTCAGCATCCTACATTCTGGATAACATTATCTGAAGCTTGTTCATTCATTCATTCAGCAAACTGTCCCAAGACCCAGATGTACCTGGCCTTGTGCTAGACACTGGAGTTACAAAGATGAATGAGTTGCCCTCCCTGACCACAAGGTCAGTAAGCTGGAGAAGAGGACAACAGAGAAGGTTTCGCTGGGGATGGCAACTGTCATGGAGGGTTAGAGGTTAGTGATGGGAAGACGCGTCCCAGACTTTTTTTAGCATTTGCTGGGCACCATGCATTTCTAAACACATACACATACACACACACACACTTCCTCCCAATCAGTTACCTCCCTTCTCAGCCACCAACCCTAGGACCATGGTCCAAAGACCAGGCCTGGATGTGCCAATCTAGATCCTGTAAAGAAGGGCTGCAGGCTACTGGATGGGCTAACGATGTCAACATGGTAGATGGCAATATGCTTCCCTGGGTGGGAGACAAGAGACAGAGGCTGACCCCAACCTGCCAGCTGGCTGTGCTCTCGGGCAGACCCTAGCTCTTGGTCAGCAGCTGGTCCTCAGGAAACAGGGAGATGAAGCTTGCTTTACGTGCCCCTACTCTACCCTCCACAATCATAATACCAGTGCTTACCATTTGCACTGCACCCTCCAGTTTATAAGACACTTTTACAGGCATCCACGCCTTCATTCATTCATTGAATGCCGAGGCACTTGCTTAAAACTAAGAACTAAAGAGTAATAAAAACACAGCTGCTACCCGATTGGTTGCCACTTCCTCTGGGAAGCCCTCCTTAACCTCTCAGGCTGGGATCAATGTCCCCCACCCTCACCCCACAGGCCTGCGGGAGCTTAGACTTGCCTACATCACAGATCCCTGGATCAGCACTGGCTTTCTATCTAAGCTTCCCTGGTTTAGATGCAAAAGAGACTCATCTGTCCCATCCACCCCTGCATCCCCTGAGCCTCGTACAGTGCTCATGCTGTGAACACAGTGAAGCAGAATGAATGACCTGAGGAAGTGCCAATGGGAGGACCCAGAATGACAGAGGGGCCATGGGGAAACAGAAGCCAAGTGGGAGAGGGCAGAGGAGACTTAAGGTAAGCATCTGGCGTTACCATTCCCTCCTCATTGGTAGATTAGGACATTTATCTCAGAGAGCCTGGGGACTTGCCCACAATGTTACTGCTAGTCAACCAGCTGGGTCTCTACTCTTACTCTCTCCATAGCAATTTCCAAACCAGCTCTACATCTCAGACAGCTCTGAGCCCTCCCTCTCCCGCTCCCGGCAGAGTTCCATCTCTTTTCCTGTGACCAACTTACTATTGGTGCTCTAATGTATTCTGTACCCTCCCCCGGGAATATTTTTTTTAAGATACCCTGAAGAGAAAAGCCTGGGATTAAAAGAAAGAAAAGGATTCCTAATGATGGAATGGCAGGTACTCACTTACTCATTAAACAACATTTACTGAGTACCTAGAGTATGTTCTATTGTAAGTGCAGCGATACCAGTGTGAACACAGGCAAAAATCACTGCCTTCTAAGATACGATCATGAATTGGTGTTATGAAAATCTGATATGCCTTTGGAAAGGAAGGAAGGAAGGAAGGGAGGGAGGAAGGGGGAGGAAAGGGGAGGGGAAGGGAAGGAAGGGGAGGGGAGGGGAAGGGAGGGAAGGGGAGGGGAAGGAGAGGGGAAGGGGAGGGACAGGGAGGGGAAGGAGAGAGGAAGGGGAGGGGAGGGGGAGGGGAAGGGAGGGAGAGTTTAAGAAGAGTTTAAGAAGCAGATTGCCATCTACCATGTTGACATTGTTAGGGGAGGGGAGGGGAAGGGAAGGAAGGGGAAGGGAGGGGAGGGGAGGGGGAGGGGAGGGGGGAGGGGAAGGGAGGGGAGATGGAGGGGAGGGGAGGGGAGGGGGGAGGGGAGGTAAGACAGGGAACACCAAGTGATCTATTCAAGATGCCACGTAAGCTGACCCAGCAAACATGGTCTATTGGGGGCAAGGAGACACCACACAATTCTTCGCCCCAAGACCACTCTACTATCTACTGCAGGATCCCCTGCCCTCCTTCACTTTCCTTTCAATTTCCACAGTAGAAGAGAAACAGACAGAATGAGCCTCCTTTTTTGGCCATTGCTGCCTTCCTAATTAAAGTCAACTATTTGTGTTTATTCAGGGCCTATAAACACAGATCCAAAAAAGTGTTTAAGAAAAAGCAGATGAAATGTGGGTAAGGACTGGCTAATAAAATCACGGGAAAATGCTGTTCGTTTTCAATCACAACTGTGATTAAACAAAACTTGCAGGAGGAAGCTCTGAGGGCCAAGGCACATAAATGTGTGCAGGGCCTGAGCTTCCAGGGGAAAATGTAAACCATAACTTCCTGCAGAATTAATTGGTCCCTGGTGGGAGATACGTGCTAAGTTCCTCTGGACAGAGCCAGAGAATCTTGATGCAGCTAATATGGGTTCCCCTCCCCCTCCTGCCACTAGGTTGTCACACAGCCCGTCCAGACTGCAATTAAAAATCCTGTGGATTTACAGGTTCCTTGGGGACAGCCTTTGGAGGAAGAATCTGTGCTCCAGTTACAAGAGGCACCTAAAGAAGCTCAGAAACAGAGGCTGCCCCTTCCAGAGCATAACAGCCAGCTCATCTCAGGACCTCAGTGTCCACATCTGGCCGCTGCACCAGATACTGGCCAAGGTCCCTCCCAATAACAGCTTCTCACACACTAGGTCCTTCCAAACTGGTACCTGGGTGCAGAGGAGTGCTATGCTCTGAAATGTATGAGGGTCTGGTCTGAATTTGAACATCAGTGGCAAAGATGCTGAAGAACCCTACGGATTCCACAAGGAAGTGGATGACTTTGCAAAGAAAGCAAAGGAGGGGCGACAGCCAGGGCCAGCCTTAATGAAGCCCTAACGAACTGAACAAGTTTCCACAATTCAGGACAACAATGGGAGAGGAACCAGTGGGGACCAGAAAACAATCAATGCCTTTGATGAAGCATTGCTGATGAAATTTCCCATTGGTGCTTTAATCTGGCTCCCCGGAGGTTGTCGGCTTTGCAGTATCTTCAAGGAAAATCATCTCTTTTTTGAGACAGAGTCTTGCTCTGTCATCCAGGCTGGAGTGCAGTGGTGTGATCTCAGCTCACTGTAACCTCTGCCTCCAAGGTTCAAGTAATTCTCATGCCTCAGCCTCCCAAGTAGTTGGGATTATAGGCACTTATCAGCACGTGCCACCACATCCGGCTAGTATCTGGATTTTTAGTAGAGACGGCTACTGACCAGGCTGGTCTCGAACTCCTGGCCTCAAGTGATCCACCCACCTCAGCCTCCCAAAGTGCTAGGATTACAGGTGTGAGCCACTGTGCCCAGTCAGAAAATCATCTTGAATGTACATTATACTCCACGTCACTACACAGAGAGCTTGGTCCTCCTGCTACTCCCGACCCCGACCCCTGCCCACCACAGTTTACCACGTAAGTCTTCAACGTCAGACAATGGCAACCTCAAGACACTCAGTGGGTCCGCGCATGGCTCTTTTCTGTACAAGACCGTCTTCCTCACCAGCTTTTGCACTCAGCAGGTATAACTCTTTCATCAGAGTCTCAGTATACCAACAGCATTCTGCACTTGGTGCTGAAGCCAGCCTCCTCGGGCTGGGACCCATCTCTCACAATGATGAAGCCTCAATAAACATCAAAGCACTCTTCGGGAACTGGCTTGGTTTCAATACGAGAGTGGAGTCCATCCCAAGCTGACTCCAAGCCAACCTGGATTCTGAGCCACTCTCAGTATAAATGGTCAAGAGCAAAACAAACTGTTTCCACACTGCTCCAAAGCTGAGCTGTGCCCAGCGTTCACACCTATAGTTCCCTGAATGCTGTTCTGCCTGCCTGCATTAGCACCTGCTGCTCCCTGTCTGAAATGCTGTTCCCAGTGCTGGCCTTCAAAACTCGGTTTAAACTGTCACCTTCTCTATAAAGCCTTTCCCATCCCCTCCAGGCAGAGTCTGTTTGGTTCAATAGTTCCTGAGGGTGTGAGTCCAGCGAGGTCCTGTGCTTCAAATGAAGTGCAGGGAGGAGAAACGTATTTGGCCATACCTTCCCAGGCTAGAGTTTCCAAATAACCCCTTACTTGAAAATCTATTTAAAAATTTTTACTGTATGATATTTAAGATGTATAAAAAATGGGCCAGGTACAGTGGCTTACGCCTATAATCCCAGCACTTTGGGGGCCAGGGCGGGCAGATCACTTGAGGTCAGAAGTTTGAGACCAGCCTGGCCAACATGGCGAAACCCCATCTCTACTAAAAATACAAAAATTAGCCAGGCCTGGTGGAACACGCCTGTTGTCCCAGCTATTCGGGAGGCTGAGGCATGAGAATTACTTGAACCTGGGAGGCAGAGGTTACAATGAGCCAAAATCATGCCACTGCACCCCAGCGTGGGCAACAGAGTGAGACTCCATCTCAAAAAAAAAAAAAATGTACAGGCCAGGCACAGTGGCTTACACCTGTAAACCCTGCACTTTGGAAGGCTGAGGGAGGCTGATCATGAGGTCAGGAGATCGAGACCATCCTGACTAACACAGTAAAACCCCATCTCTACTAAAAATACAAAAAATTAGTCGAGTGTGGTGGCACGTGCCTGTAATCCCAGCTACTCAGGAGGCTGAAGCAGGAGAATCGCTTGAACCCGGAGGCAGAGTTGCAGTGAGACAAGATTGCGCCACCGCACTGGTAAGAGCGAGACTCCATCTCAAAAAAGATGTATAAGGAATAAGAGAATAATAAAAGCACTTCTTGTGCCCACCACCACCATGTATTCATTTTATGTAACAAAATACATCAAACACAAAGTCTCCTGGGTACCCCAATCACATCGCTCTCTCCAATCGCCATTGGGAAGCACCATCCTGAATTTGGTATTTACCGATTCCCTGTATTTCTTTATACCTTAACTACATATGACTGCACTCCCTAAATAGTGTACAGCATTGTTTTGCATGTTTTAAAATTTTCATAACTGAAACACTCTGCCTATTAAGACAACAGTTTGTTTCTATTTCCATCTCCTCCCACAGTCTTGAACCCTCTGAGGGCAGTGCCGGCATCCCATTAATCCTCTACATACAGGAACCTAACCCAAACCCTCACACAGAGTTCGTGCTTCATGCAGGCTTCCTGGAAATGGAAGAAACAAAACCCTGAGAGCAAAGTCCTCACCCACTAGACCCAAAAAGGAAGGGAGAGAGGGATGCAGGGGCATCTCGCTGGAGGCTGAAGGCGCCCAGGACCCAAGCATGACCCCATCCAGGGCTGGTAGAAGGCCGTACAGTGTCTATTGTGAGAAGCAGGCTCACAGTGCTGCACCCAGCACACACAGGTTTGATAAAACCATTTCTACAGATAAGAAAACAGAGGCTAGAACAGCTAAGCGTGGCTGCTCCAGAGGAGACCCAGCCAGGGCCTGTCTAACAGAGAGAGACAGAGGCCTCACTCATCAGGACCAGAGTCTTCTTTTGTTCAGCCCTGGCCCATCCTGACTTTCAATCACCAAATACATCCCCATGTGCCTTCTAGGATTTCTGGAGGAAACCCAGGAAGTGTCATGGGAAAACACTTAAATACATGATGGGTGAGACAGGGGAAGAGAACACAGTTTATGTGGCCACCATGAGAATGGGCTAATTTTTGGCAGTACAGGAATACTAGCCTTCTGATTAAAGGGAGAGTGCCCCTCGTCAGTGCTCTTTTCATGAATTAACCTGTGTCCCTTGAGCTGTGAATCCTCTGTCAGCTTAAAATGTATCCATGCCCGAGTGTGGTGCCTCACACCTGTAAGCCCAGCACTTTGGGAGGCCGAGGCGGGTGGATCACGAGGTCAGACATTCGACACCAGCCGGCAAACATGGTGAAACCCCGTCTCTTCTAAAAATACAGGCCAGGCGCAGTGGCTCACGCCTGTAATCCCAGCACTCTGGGAGGCTGAGGAGGGCAGATCACAAGGTCAAGAGATCGAGACCATCCTGGCCAATATGGTGAAACCCCGTCTCTACTAAAAGTACAAAAATTAGCTGGGCATGGTGGCATGCACCTGTAGTCCCAGCTATTCGGGAGGCAGAGGCAGGAGAACTGCTTGAACCTGGGAGGCGTAGATTGCAGTGAGCCAAGAGCACACCACTGCACTCCAGCCTGGGTGACAGTGAGACTGTCTCAAAAAAAATACAAAAATTAACCAGGCATGATGGCACACATCTGTAATTCCAGCTAGTTGGGGCTGAGGCAGGAGAATCGCTTGAACTCGGGAGGCGGAGGTTGCAGTGAGCCGAGATCGTGCCACTGCACTCCAACCTGGGTAACAGAGCGAGACTCCGTCTCAAACAACAATGACAACAAAAAATGTATCTGCAAGGTCACCAAGTAAAGTTTAACAGGAGCCAGGGCTAAAGAAATAAGTCCTGGCAGAGTGTGGTGGCTCACGCCTGTAATCCCAGCACTCTGGGAGGCCGAGGAGGGCGGATCACAAAGTCAAGAGATCGAGAACATCCTTGGGTGAAACCCTGTCTCTAATAAAAAATACAAAAATTAGCTGGGCATGGTGGCGCACAACTGTAATTCCAGCTACTTGAGAGGCTAAGGCAGGAGAATCACTTAAACCCAGGAGGGGGAGGTTGCAGTGAGCCGAGATTGTGCCACTGCACTCCAGCCTGGTGACAGAGCGAGAATTCATCTCAAAAAAAACAAAAAAACAAAAACAAAAAAGTCCCAACTCTGGCCCTGACCAGCTGCGCAGCCTTGGGCAAATCACTCAACCTCTCTGGGCTTCAATTTTCTAAAAGTAAAGTATACACTCTACAAACACTCTTGGAGCAAGGCCTACTGCGAGCCTGGCCTGTGGATCTAACCCAGAAAGTGACCCCGTCCTGGGCCCACCTATGTTTAGTCGAGCAAGGTCAAAGTTTAAATGCCAAATATCCTATGGACAATAAGGTGCTCTCATTGTACTTGATTTTCTATCATATAAACCCCTTTCTGACTGTTTTCTTCTCCTTCTTCTTTTCTTCTTTTTTTGAAAATTCAAGACATGGTGCTTAATCAATGCTAAGTAGAAGAGAGAGCCAGGAAGCTCATCTTTAATTCAGCGCTGACAATCCTCAGCTCAGCTCAAACTTGACAAAACGCGTTCTTCCTCACATCTATTCATAGTCGTCTGTTCCTAGAGTTAACGCTCAATTATTCACCCTAACAGAGGAATTGTCCCATGCTCTGAGAATAACATGGGGGGTGGGAGGCAGGAGGGGCAGAGGAGCCGGGAGAGACTAGCAGAGACCCCAGCTGCCGCCCAGCAGGCAGCCACACTCCTCTGAGAGAGCTGCAAGGTGACAGTGCCCTCCAGGTGCGGCCAGCGGGGAGGAGCTGACCGTAGTCACCAGGGCCTGCAACTTGACACACGCTGAACCGCATCCTCCCGGGCCCAACTTGGGATCCCTGTGCACAGGGAAGGGAAGGAAGGCTCAGACAAGTGACGCGACCTGCCAGCAACACAGGAGTACGTGGCAGGCCTGGTGACACGATGCAGAGGCGCGGCCCATGTGTACCAACCACCACCCAAGGAGCAGATGCAATTGACACCCTCAGGTGATGAAAACCTTGGAGCTGCCACAGGCTTCAACTCCTCCCAGGACTAAACGTTTTACCAGAATTGCTTCCTGCCTGAAGACAGGCTGAGTTGAATGGAATCTCCCACAAGGCTTTGTGCTTTTGTATTTTTAATATGTTGGAGACAGGGTCTCACTCTGTTGCCCAGGGTAAAGTGCAGTGGCACGATCACAGCTCCCTGAAGCCTCAGCCTCCTGTCTCATGCAATCCTCCCACTTTGGCCTCCTGAATAGCTGGGACTACAGGTGAGTGTCACCATGCCAAGATATTTTTAAAAAATTTTTTGTAGAGATGGGGGTCTCCTGATGTTGCCCAGGCTATTCTGGAACTCTTGGGCTCAAGCAATCCTCCCAGCTCTGCCTCCCAAAGTGTTGGGATTACAGGTATCAGCCACTGCACCCAGCCTCTCACAAGGTTTTGATGAGGATTAAATGAGATGATGCACACTCAGCAGAAAGCTCTACTCTTACTGCATCCCCCTTGTATTTTGGTCCTTCATTTTGTTCCTCTGACCCTTGAAACTATAAGGACAAGGAGCCTGCATGACTCAGCATGACTCAGCTTGGTAAACCCAGGGCCCTGCTCAGCAAGTAGCTGGGTCCATTCTTCACTCCTTCAGCCAGGGCAGCCGACTGACTTATCACTTCCTCTCCAAGGTGCTGAGGAGCAGAGAGGCCAGATGTGAGGACAAGAGAAAGGTGCGGTAAGGGACAGAGACAGGGAAGACCATGGGCAAACCTGGGGATTTTCTGGACATTCAATAAATACCTACTTGAGATGCTAAGACATGTCCCCCTTTTGCATCTAATCACAGAAATACTTATATACACACATCAAAATGGTAAATTCAGGGCATGAAATGAATATTTTTAAAGATGACAATTTAGGCCAGGCGCAGTGACTCACATCTGTAATCCTAGCACTTTGGGAGGCTGAGGCAAGCAGATCACTTGGCCAGCCTGGCCAACATGGTGAAACCCCGTCTCTACTAAAAATACAAAAATTAGCCAGGCATAATGGGCCACACCTGTAGTCCCAGCTACTGAGAGGCTGAGGCACGAGGATCACTTAAACCCAGGAGGTGGAGGTTGCAGTGAGCCAAGATTGCACCACTGCACTCCAGCCTGGGTGACAGAGCAAGACTCTGTCTCAAAATAAAATTAAATAATTAATTAATAAATATGTCAATTTAAGTTATCAGTCAGGCACAGTGGAGAGAGCCTGTAGTCCCAGCTTTTTTTCTAAAAGAAAAAAAAATGTAATAATAATAAAAAAATTCAATTGTCCACCCAAAGTAGAAAATTAACTCATATAGTCATTCATCAAACATATGTCTGGTACCTACCTACTAGGTACTTTCTATATTTGGTGCCTCCCTTTGAAAAATGGCTGAGGAGCATTGAATCCAAACCCTTCCAAAACACAGGCAAAGATGATAGTGGGTTGTAACACAGGGCTCAGAAGAAAACGGCATTTTAGACACTATAAGAGTCTGTCTGGAAATTTGCAATCGCATAAACGGTAATAGCTCAGCCACCCGCTGGGGTGCCTTCGTCTGTCTGTTCCGTACGAGTTTCTCAGAGGCAGATGTATCCTTTTCTTCTGCCCCTGCCTCCCACCACAAAGCACAGGAAGAGGGTTCTGAAAAGTGGTCCTTCTCCCCAAGAGAGGTCGGGCGCACCCGCTGCACCCCACTCCCTGGATGTGCAAGTGGCAAGAGCAGAGGGATTACTCAGGTGCTTGGAGACATAAGGTCACTCATCTTCCATTGAGAACACACTGAACACAGCTCCTGAACCAAAGGTCATTTGGCTTTGGAAATAACATAAAGTCCCCAAACAGAAAACACTTGGCAACTGTTCATCAGAGGCTCTCATTCATCTTACCTTTCCCTGAAAGTAACTCTTTTTTTTTTTTTTGAAACACAGTCTCACTCTGTAGCCCGGGCTGGAGTGCAATGGCACAATCTTGGCTCATTGCAACTTCTGCCTCCAGGTTCAAGCAATTCTCCCGCCTCAGCCTCCCAAGTAGCTGGGACGGCAGGCGTGTACCACCACCTCAGCCATACCCTTGATTAACTGAGCCAAATTCAGCTGTACTCAAAGGGCCAAATGCTTTCCTTTTTCCATTTTAAAAAACTTTAAATAATGTAA